TGGGCCTGAAGGGCTTGAACGAGCATTAGGGTTGTGGCTGCGAGTTATCTTGTGGTACTATAGGTGTAGCTAGAGGTATACACATGAAGTTCAGCTTGCTTTATCTGACTTATTGGGGGGGTTGAACCTTCGGTGCATTTTCTACATAAAGCCCCCAAGCCCTAAGCCAGGCTGAAGAAGGAAGCCTCTGAGTACGAGGATCAAGTCAAGGGTCCTGTGGTGGATCATGCCGACCCTTGCCTGCAAAGGGAGGGTCTTCTTGGGATGATGTAGGGAAGACAGGGGGGGTGTCAAGGGCGGTTTGCGGGTTGGTTTGGGGTTGGGGGGATAGGTACTTGCATGTTATGTCCCGGAAATCGTCATTCTAGGGAGCGCGCTTTTGCTACATCATCCCACCCAGTTCCTGCACAGACAATGTTCGCGATGGCGGCTTAAGTAAAGCCACCCGAAACACTCAAAGTGGCAACTCAGTGAAGACCGAGGACATGTGGCTCCAGCAGAAATCTCGTGGCTTGGCCAAGTGAACTGTAGAAGTAGTATCAGGCCTTAGGCTTTCGGGCTTTGAAGTTAGGAGTTGGAGTTCAGGATTTTCGGAGTTGAAGGCTTAGTGGCGGAGGTTCAGGTAAGCTGAGGGTCAGCTGCAGGTTGATCACGAGTGCTTAGCCATGTTCTCGGCATCACAACCCTAGCAGTCCCAATCTCTTCCCCTCCTGAAACCTTTAATTCTAATGGCATGGGGCTTCATGTTTGTGTCGTTATGTGATTGGCTGCACCGCCGCACCACAGCTCCAGCTCCACTAGATTGACGACAGAAAAGAAGTCCAGATTGCATTTGACTTGTTCTCATTTGAATGCGACAGAACGGTTCCAGGCTTTTTAGATTTCAGGGGGGTTCTATATGAGAAAATTATAGGGGATGGTAAGGGGATACTAGGAATTTAGACTACAGCTCACTTGAATCCTACCAAGGCTATCAGGAGTTCGTGAAGGAGCTGAACCACGGCATGAACGTTCAGAAGCAGCTGGTTCATAAGCTTCGCCTCGTGTCTGCAAGCTTGTTGCTGAGTAGAGCATCGCTTGGGGTTAAGGATTTGGGGTGCTCCAGGGCTTGGGGGAGTTTGGCTGTTACGGCTTCAAGTGGTTTAGCATCTTGGGCAGCATAGGCTGCATAGGGCTTATTGTGTGAGGTGCAAGGTGTCTTGGGGATCAGTCTCTGCTTCTGCTTTCAGTCATGTAAGTTGAGAGCAGTAGCAGTAATCTGTAGAGAGAGGTGGCAGGGCTGCAACAGCCACAAAGCAGATGACAAATGTGACAGCAGTCATAGCAACGATCATCACTATTGCTGGAAAGAAATCACGTGACAACCGAAATACGTACCATTTCAAGGCCCTTAGGCTTACGTCGAACCCTAGGGGTTTGAGTGTTCTCAGCTTGGACGCATCTCAGGCACAGAGGAGAGAAAGAGAGCTTTGGGCAAGATGAAGGAGGCCAAGAAGGAGACGAACTCCACGAATTCCACGGAAGGCCCCGAGCTTTGAAGATGTGCATTGTATGTGTAGCAAACTAGGCAGCCAGCAAAGGGCGGCTTTTTTGGGAGATATTATGCTGCTTTGCTTTTTGGATGCTCCAGATTATCATGTTGGCCATCTAAGTTTAGATTTTATACAAGATGGTTTGTCCTGCGCATTTCGAAGTATCCTGCTCCTGTCCTCCACGCATGATGCCTCCAAGGGAAGGCAAACCAAAGTCAAGCTGAGCCAAGTCCAAAGTGACCAGTAGCTTAACCCATCGGTTTGCAAACCAACCTCCGTAAGATCATAGAAGCTCCGAAGCAAGCCTAGCTGGTAAGTCTGTGCCAGCTACAATGACAATGGAGATTTTGCAAACCAATGACGACAAAGCCTCGACGCTTCCGGGCTTTGACTGAAATGGCAAGAGCTTCTTGCTGGGCCCACTTTGAGTGAGATGTGTTGCACTTGTGTGTTGTTCTGAGCGTGCATGGGGGGTGTCATGCCATGGCCAGTGGGCAACCTTTGTGCACGGGTGATCCGCAGCGTCGCGTCTGAAAGCCCAAACTGGCCTAAACCCGTAATAGATAGCAGTAGAGTCCCCTTCAGCAAGCGCGATGGGGCTGCTGAATATCCTGAAGAAGATGAAGAAGGACTGCCTAGGGCCTAGGTCAAGGTAGGAAAGCACTCAAGCTACAACCAGGGCTCTATCCCATAGTCTATTGCACATCGTTCTAGTTGGATAAATAGAAAAAGGGGCCCTCATTTTGGTACATGCCCTCTTTCTTGATATCAGCAACTATCCCCTGGGTCCTGGGGGATGCAGGATGACAAGGAAGCTCGGATCCTGGTCTTAGGCCTCGACAACGCCGGGAAGACTACGATCCTCAAGAAGTTGCGGCTTGATGGGCATGAGCTGGCAGTAGTATGGGTTTCGAGTTTCTGGTTGATGTTTGGGTACAGAGGTTGTTGTTTTGGGGTTGAGGTTTGAGGGCTTTGGGTTTAGGGCTTAGGCTGTGGGAGTTTGGTTTGATGTCGTAATTTTGCAGAAGGTCACTACAAGAGTTGCGACGACACTGCAACTTCCATCGTGGTCGTCGTCATCAGTTTTGCCATTCGCATCCTTACAGCCGCTGGGGAGGGAGCTACGCAAAAAGGCCCCCAGTACTATTTCATAGCATTCTACTTGCAGACGTGCAAAGCCCCAATCTCTACAACATGAGCACCTACAACCAAGACCCCTGTCCGAGGTCGGAGGAAGATATCTCGCACATCATGCCGACGCAGGCCCAATCTGCTATGCCCCAGTCTCCGAAGTAGGGATGATGGTATAGACAGGAGAGTAGCAAATGCATCCTATTTTTAAGTGGTGCCAGGGAGAGCTTTTTCAAACAGAAGCTGTTCGCTGGTGTCAGGGCTTCAACATCAAGAGCATCATGCAAGATGGATTCAAGCTGAACGTCTGGGACATCGGCGGCCAGAAGGCGATCCGGCCTTACTGGAGCAACTACTTCGAGAACACCGACGCGCTAGTCGGGAGCTTGGGGCGGAAATAGCAGTAAGGACGAGGAGCACTAGTACAACAACAATATAGAAAGATGTTGACCGGACTTGCAGCTGGAAAAGAGTAGTTCGCGGCGGTTGAACTGGCAGCAATGTCACAGATCAAATCCAATGCAAGACTGGCAGAAGCGTCATCAAAACTCGAGTTTCATATTGAAAGCGAAGGAAGGACAATTGATTTCAATAGACCGTGTATTGTCCTATGCATTTCAAGAACCAAAACACCTTGCCGAATATGCTCGCAATGAGTTTGCTGTAGGCAACTCGGACGCAGACGCAGCAGCATCAGGAGTAGTGCTCAATAATAGTTGTGTATCCCCATTCGGAGCAGACACCTAAGCAATAGCAAGGTCTATGTCATCGACTCCTCCGACCGCCGGCGTCTTGAGGAGAGTAGTGCTGAGCCCCTGGGACGGACACCTGAGAAGTAGTGCGTAGGGGAATTAAGAGGTGCAGGGCTCTTGGGACTTGGGCATGTGGGGTTAAGATTTAGAAATTGGAGGATTTGGACGTTGGCGGCTAGAATTGAGGATTTGAGGGCGGCTTGTCGGAGTTTTGTGCACTCAGGGTGTAAGAGTTGGGATGAAGCCTGCGTGGTTACAGTACTTTACCGCTGTGGGGCTTTGGACTTATGGGTCGGGATTTCGAGTGTTGGAGCACCAGTGGTTGCTCGGCGAGGTGTTAGAGTTGGAAGAGTCGGTCGGGACTTTTCTAGTAGAAGTAAGAATAAGAGTAAGGAAGTCCTGGTAGTGACTGTAAGAGGATTCATGGCATTTGTAGTGATTAGCAGTAGTCTGTGAAGCCTAGACAAGGTTTAGGCAGTGGCATGGCAAGTAACGTGATTGGATGTTAATCTTGACTCCAGGAGATTATCTTTACTGCGAGTATTCACACATTAACTTCCAGGTTAGCTAGTGGAGCATTCATGCTGTGGTATCTAGAGTTGTAACCACTACATGCATCAACAGTGTCATCAATTGTAGCAACATGTGCAGGCAACAGGAGTGCCTTTCGTCTTCTTGAATAGCTTCTATCAACATGGCATAGGACTAATTAGTTGTGGTAGTCAAGAAGCCAGGTCGCGGGTACTATCTACCTGATCATGAGAAACTGACCAAGTATGAGCAAACCTGTACCAGTCATGGCTGACGCTGTGGGACAAGCCTCTTGAGAAAGAGGTATTGCCCAAAAACCAAACCCCAACCAGATACGCACCCCCTGCGCCCCAATCCCATCAGCCCTGACCGTGAGCTCCAAGGTTTCAACGCCTCAACTCCCCTAAAGCTTCAAATCCATGAAATGCTAGGCAGCGATTTGCGGGTTGCACACTCGAGGATGAAAGTGGAATGGCCCGGCACACTGGAAAACCCCGCCAACAACGGGCCTCTTATCTTCAAAGACCTCCATGTATTCCCAACCGAATCCCTACACAGTTTCGAATTCAAGTTCTGCACAGCCCCTCCACATCCCAAACCTAGAAGTCCGTGCACTTTGAAAAGCTGGAAGTACTGTGGGCAGCAACTGCAGGCTCAGGGAGCTTCTTGCCGAAGACAAGCTCGCAGCAACACCCATGCTGGGGCCCTGTGGGGTCTGTAGTCCCCCTTAAGTAGTTAGAATATGGGGTATATGGGAATCCTATTCTAATATACCCACAGCCATATTCTATCTACTTAAGGGGGACTATAGGGTTTGGGGGTAGGTTGCTGGTTCAGGGTGTAGGGTATGGGACTGTAGCTTACCCACGTAGAAGGACCTAAGGAGCATTGTGAGGAATCCCATAGCCATACAATGGAGTCTATTCGGTGCGGCAGGACGGCAGTGTATCAGGTACTTGGATATCATGGAGACAGGGAGGATGAACTGGTAATCAAGTCGAACGGCACATGGCACAAACGTATGCTACAAAGAGCAATCTTGTGCTTGTGATGTTCCGTTTGTGGACCATAAGCCGGTTTTTTTCCACTCCTCCAAGGCAAACCCCACTTTCCTTTGATACTTCCCTACAGGTATCCAGTTCCCAGGTCCCTCAATCCCCCAGCTTTCTGCCTCGCACAGGCTGGTCTATGCCAACAAGCAGGACCAGGGGATTGTGGAGCATCATGGGATCTAGGAAGCGGAATTACGCATGAAGGCGTTGTGAGGCTGTGAGGGCTATTCCTCACGCTTCACTTCAGTTCATGAAGAAGCGTTGATCGTTGCTGGTGAGAGGATCTGCTACAAGCCTCGCCTGCTGAAGAGATTGCGGATGTAATGGGTTTGGCCAGCATCACGGATCGAGTGCGGCTTGCCTGCAGACCTCCAACAGCTCATTTCACCTTTGATGCCACTGCTAGTACATTCATGTTGGATTCATATTGGCATGTTTAGTGCTCTCATCATGATTGTTGCTTTTGTTATTGGCTCTTGGAGCAACTAGCTCTTGTAATGCTGGGAATCCCGTCACGTAGTGAGATCCTCATCTGCCAGGATTGTTGAAAGGAACTTGTTTGGGTTCCTTGCCAAGGGAGCTCTCCCAAACAAAGGGGCTGGCTGCTTTGGAGAGGTGAAGCAAAGTAGGGGATTCTTAAAGAACTTCAGATTCCAAACCCTGAGCCCAAAAAGCTTTAAATCCTGAACGCTAAGCTCCGTCTGTTTACAAAGTTACTCGAAGGGTCCCGAAAAGCAATGACTCAGGTGGACTATCCAAGCATGCAGCGCCAAGAGCGGCGAGGGCCTGCAGGCCCATTGGGAGAGCGTCTTGCAGGGCTTCTGTGTAGATCATGTCGGTCCTGTGGAGGAAGTTTCGTCCAATTGCTCCATGGGGGTAACTACTGCCACGATAGCGATGAGAGCATAAGCTATGATCATGGCAGGGAGCATTGGTTTGATCTGCAGTGAGAGAGGGTTGTTCAAAAGCGGGAAGCTCTAGACCCTGATCCATGAATCTATTAAGGAGCCTCCATAATGAGGAAGATCATCCCCTTATGATCCCCAAGCCTCATGCTAGCTGCTTGCCGCTTAATCCTCAGCTCGCCAGGAAGGCATGGAGTGGCTGATCTCGAACTGCCAGAAGTAAACTCCTGACCCCGCTGAGGCCCAGTATGGCAGGTGGAAGTTGATCAGAACTATAAGATCTGATTATAGTCTGAACTCCCTAAGGGGGGTTATGTAAGGGATCATACAGGGGGCTATTGTGAGGGTTATTAAAGGGGATTCTTGGAGCTTAGACTATGGTTTATAAGATGATTGAGAGTTCAGGGCTGAGGTTGAAGAACTTCGCTTCCGTTGTTGAAGGCTCAACGTTGCATGTAGTTCAGTCAAATAGCATCGCAAGGCGTATTATAGCATGGGATCCATTCCCGTTTCCCAACGGAGTACAAGCCTGGTTCGGAGGACTTAATTGCGGTCCGCTGGACTTCGTTTCACAAGGTTTCTCCGCGTCTCAGAGGCTCCGCACGTACCAGAAGTGCCAGGGAATAGCGCCAGCTGGATTCTGGCATACCGGTCACTTCAGCTGCGGTTTCACCCTCCACGACTCCACAAACTGACCTCGCAGCACGCATGCATAGGCAAAAACAAGAGTTGGCAGGCAAAAGCCACGTCTGTGCTGTTGCTACCCCCCACCCAAGGAGGATCTGAATCCCCTGACGCCCGCAATCTGCAACTTCCATTGCGCATGCGGCTCAAAACTTGATTTGCAACAGTAAGTTGTAAGTAACATGCACTCAGAATCTGCGAAGCACGCAGTGAAATGGGGAAGAAGCGAAGAGGTGGGGTGTAGGGTGAAGGGGCAGAAGCACCCAGCATCAGACATGGTGCGGGATGGCTATGCCGCAAGAGGGGCCGGGAGCCCGACTCTAGAAATGCTGGATTTGTTTACATACTGGGGATTAGTAGTAGGGAATAATAAGGGAATATACTATATAGGGATTATTTTCGCTTGTCCCTACTAACCGCCAGTGAGTTGAGGTTCAGGCTGGAGGGTTTAGGGTTTAGTGTTTATAGGATTAAGTATTGAGGGTTTAGGGCTTAGGGGCTTCTCACACTGGGTTCCAGTTGATACTGCGGTTTGTTCCGTTTGCACTGACGTAAATTTGGCTGGTTCCCCCTCTCGTGACAGCCAAGTTCAGATATCCCCACTGTGGACCTACAATACTTGGGAGGAGAGGGGTGTGCGAATTAGGGCTCGAACTTCGGATGCCCCTGCTGAGCATGCAAAGATGCCGTCAACAGGAGCCCAAACAGATATTTATTTCTTGTTTTAGAAGGTCTTGTGTAACGTCGATACGTAGATGATCTATATATACTCGTGCTAATAAAGATCTACTTTCCCATACCGAATTCTGGGGGCTATACTATGGCTAGAGTCTACGCTGAAATAAGCAGTGACTAACATTAGGCTTCCCCGACCAAGGTACACAAGGAACTAGGAAGGATAAGAGGATCACGGGGTCCCTGTTTTGGGATTCTCTTGAGGTCGCAGATCTTGAGGAATACCCTCTTTCTGCGTAGACTCCGCAGAAACTACTGAGAACTTTGCTCCTTTCAAGGGGTCGTGGTATCATTGAATGTCTTCCCTGGTAGGATCAGCCCGCATGAAAAAAGATGTTAACCGGAACTTGCGCAAGCCGTACAACTTGGAAGAGTGGTATGGGAGGCCTAAAACTAACCCTGATCCCTAAACCTCTATAAACCCTAAAGACTGCTAAAATCACTCACCTGCAACGGGCTTCTATGGGGGAATCCTTGAATTCTGCCACGAGGCGCCCCCACCGCGACCTGGTCGAAAGGCCTGGACCAGAACCCGAAGTAGCATAGAGGTTTTGGGGGGGGGCATTATATAAGGGTAAGTGTTTAAGGGTTAGGAGCCAAGTAGCATAGAATTTGGGGTTACATTAAGGTTTAGGGTCTAGAGGTAAATAGAATAGGGTTCTGGGGGTATGTAATGCTGTAAGTACAGAAGGAATATGGAATCTAGGGATCTAGGGACCTAAACGAGCACAAGACGGTTTGGAAGTCTTAGGCCTGCCCAGGTACGATTCAGGGCGTACTGCATATAAAGTAGCGGATGGGGGAATATCCTTCGGATGGCCAATTGTTTCCTGAATTTCCTGTCTGGATAGTCTGGCCCCGGCGCCATCATCATTTTTTCACTTTGGATGAGTCGTACCTGTACCAACCGTACCATGTCTACAATGACTCTCACCGTTTGCACTATTCTCGTGTAGTTCTTCTAGTTTCCATTGTCTTTTCCATTATCCCCGTTATAATCCCTATATAACCCCAATATACTATATGAGTTTCCATTTTTATGCAATTCCTCCCCATTTTGAGCAGGATGAGCCGCCCACCATAGGTTGGGATCTCAGCTGTGAGGCGAATGTCAGAATTTGCAGGAGATTTTATGTGAATTGTACAGCGATTCTGTGTGTGAGTATGTGGGAAGTATTGGGGGGGTTTGTGCTGGAGTTTGAGGAGTTGATGTCGATAGGAAATGAGAGCGATATTTCCCGGAAATGCTACGCTAATCGGCCTTCATTGGATAAGTCCAGGTGAGGGGGTGATTCGAGTAGATTCTTCCTAATGGTGCGTCCACTGTTCAGTTGGATCTGAAGTGTACATGGCTGAGATAGCTTGCATCCCGTCACCAAACCTTACACAAGGCCACACACCCAAGGCACCCGGCAACCCTTTCACACTAACAATACAGTATTGGACCACCCCTTGCCATGCCAACAATAAAGTACCCCCCCTCGATTGTATAATGGTGCTATACTTGAGTGTTTTTGTTAATAGGGGCATGGGGGTGATTAGAGCCCCAATATACTATAGTAGTTTCCATTTTCTTTCCATTATAACATCCCCATTATGGGCCCTAAAACCCTAAACCCTAAGCCCTAAACCCGGTGAGAGCTTCCATAAAGTCTCCTATTGCCAAGCTTCTGAGGTGCTACGCCCGCCTTGGAAGCCTTCCGAGCAGCAGCCCTGGGTCCTGGAGCTGTACGCCCCTACAGCGAAGGCCTGGAATGCGGGATTGCATGGGGTTTTCTAGAGAGACTAATAGGAGCTACTTGTTTTTTGGGGATTTCATGGGGAAACATTTGGTATTTGATTTCTAGTTTCTTAACACTATACTGCTTTGGCGCGGGGACAGGGGCATGAGATCGTAAGCTAGTTTTGTTGGTAGAAGTTCGGTTGGTGTTGAAGGCTAGCCCTACGGGTTGGGCACCCCTTTCCCTCCACGTTAAACTCAAAGCCTCTAAACCCCCCAAAACCATTCCGTGGACTTTCAAAGCCTGTACCAGATAGCCACCTCACCAGCTTGGAGACTTACACGCAGAACCAGGCTCCTTGCCTCTTTGGGTGGCAGCCTGCTTGGAGGTTCAGGGGTGAGAGTAGTGATAGTGTTTCCTTTCGTTAGGGACTCATGGAGGATTCTGGAAGCTTGATGTGCTGGGGATGTATAAGTATAAGGTTTATAGGGTTTGGGTTTCTGATTTCATGGCTGAAGAGGAGTCTAAGAGGAGCAGGCAGAATGGAAACGTGTCTAGAGTACTAGAGTCTTTAGCAGCCTACTCAAGCATTACATACAAGCAAAAACTCTACATCCTGAAGAGCTTGTCTTAGCAAGGTGTACGGGTATCATTGTAGGGGCTTTGAAGTGGGGATGGCTATGACGATTCCTACATGACCTCTACTATCCGAGGCTGAGAGGTTGCTTGCATGTTGGTAGCTTCTCTGCTCAGTGTCGGTGAAGCTGTAGGGACGCTCAATGTGGGAGCATGAGGCAATGAGACCAATCCTGGACATCATCCTTCAGCCTTACAGTTCAGTACCCCTTTGCGTGAAAGGAGGCTTCTTTTGTCCGCGTCTACATAAACAGAAGAGGTACATGCCACCTTGAGATCCACCCATGGCTTCCTTGCGAGCTGCAAGCGTTGCAAAGATGTGGCGAGTCCACCCCTGGCGTGCTGCGACCTGCGCAGCGCGGCCCTTCTCCTCAGCACACTACGGGCACTTCGGTTTGTGGATGAATGGGGAGTACACGGAGGCCGCCAGTGGGGCTACGTCCTCGGTACTGAACCCAGCAACTTTGGAGGAGGTGGCCACCTTCGCCTCTGCAGGTCCTACTGATACAAATCTAAACGAGACGAGGAAGGTGAAGATAGGTATCATTCTGGGTGGTATTTTGAACAAGTAGGGATTCCCGTCCTCCACACCTGTTAGCATCAGTAGGTCCTACTGACGTGGACCGGGCGGTGGCGGGAGCTTCGGAGGCCTTCGCCTCGGGGGCCTGGAGTGAGAAATCCCCTCGGGAGCGGTGCCGCGTCTCGTCTGTTGCTAAGGATGGATTATACAAAGGTTATATAGGGATACATAGGGTTTTGTAGGGGTTATACAGGGATAATGGAAATGAAGCTGGAAACTAGGGATGTAACGGGTAGTGAAGTTGGGGGCTAGCGGAACCTTCCGAATCAATCTGGTTTCCTCTTGGCCCGGCTTTCAGAGTTTTGTTTGCAGTCTTATACACGCTCCTTTTGATCCCTGAAGGGGGGAGAATGAATTGAATCAATTTCGGCTCCCTACACCTATATTCCCGCTTAAGTAGATAGAATATGGGGTACATGGGGATCTGATTATAATATACCCAACGCCATACTCTATCCACTTAAAGGGGACTATACACCAACCCGAGGAGTCCTCTCAGAGGCGGCACAGCGACTGCGAGCGGAGCTTACGTCTCTGGCGGAGATGGAATCAAGGCAGACGGGCCGCAGCCTCCGCGAGTACCTGGCGCAGCTGGGCCGGGTCTCAGGGTGATTTTAGTATCATTTTTTCCAGCTGACTGGCAGTTTGGATGATCTTTATTTGGTATAAGGTTACTGCGCTGCAGAGAGACCTTCTCAGAAGTGAGGTTGGGGCCCTTTGAGAAGTGTGAACCTAGCCAGGTTTGGGTTCATCTCTGTGTTCAATGTGCTGTAAACGTTGCAGATCCAAATTTCAAAGAAGCTCTGAGTTCAGATAGGTCCCAGAGTGGTTCGAGTACCACGGGTCCTATGCCGCGGCAAAGGGCTTTGAAGGCCGACTGCCTGCTGTCGACAAGGATCATGTCAATATGGTCTGGAGGGTGCCCTTGGGAGTTTGCGGCCTGATAACTCCTTGGAGACTTGTCTTCTTCTAAGATGAATGCAAAACATGAATGGAAACTACTGCAGTAGATACTATTCAAAACGATGGAAAACAATGGTGTATAGCAGTTGAGAATGGGAAAGAGAGTGAAAGACATCACGATCATTCGGATTATTTCTGATTATTCCTCGGGTTATCAGTCATCATTCTGCAAGGTATTTGTCGGTCATTTTTCGTTGCATCCATGTTTAGCACTGCTAGCAGCGAGGGGAATTGAGAGTTCAGCATGATGAAGCCTTCAGGGCGTGGCAATCACTCCGGGGCAACTGCCCTATCAACTGCCATGGTACTCCTTTGCGGGTTCTACTGAGTTGCTGTTAAGGAATGATTTATTATATAATACGCATAAATTTTGTAACTTCACTCAAGTTCCTGAACAGCAACCTGGTTAAGGGGCATGGCTTCCCATGGTTCAGAAACTTGGAGATGGCTCTCTCTGTCAGCTTCAAGCTTACAAAGGCCTTGCATGTGCTTCGCGTAGTTTCTCTACCGATTGTCACGTTTCTTCTCTCTGGAGATCTAGAGAGAAGAAGCATAATCTAAACTCCTAGTATCCCCCTTCATTACCTCTATTATAGGCCATTATAGCTCTCGCGTTGAGCCTGCAGAGCTCGTCTCCCAGATAGAATAGAAACCCTAATCCAAAACCCGCAAACCCTAAACCTGAAGCCCCAAGCCCAAACTCTAGACCCCAACCCCCCCAAAACCCTGAACCCTACACCCCCCATATACCCTCATCCCTCACCCCCAAACCCTAGACCTGAAGCCTTAAAACCAGCATCCCAGGAATCATCCCATGCTCATCGCGGCCAAGAAGATCTCAGTGGCGCTGGCCGCGGGCAATTCCGTAGTGGTGCTGGGTTCCATTAAACGGGTTATGGGGGGCCCTTTGGGAATTACTATCAGGATGTATAGGGCCTATAGATGTATAGAGGAGGAGTTCTACAAGGGTACAATTATGGAGATTTATGGGGATACATGATTCCTGCAAACAACTTGCCTGTTGCTAGCAGGGAATCAATGGGTGCTTGTGTCATCCTGAGCATAAGCCCGGAAAGTTTTTGTTAGTGAGCTCCTCGATGTCATCCCGTTGGGTCCCTGCAGAATTGTACTTCTCTCCTTACCTCTACGCCATAAACGCCCTAACCTCCCCCAACCCTGGCACCCCCAAGCCCTATACAGCCTAAACCCCTAAATTTAAACCCCTAACCTCTAAACCCTCAACCCCTAAACCCTAAACCCTATATAACCCCATATAACCCCATTATAGTAGCTTCCATTCTCTTTTCCATTATCCCAATATATCCCCAATATAACCCCAATAACCCTAAACCCCCTAGCCCTAACCTCCAACTCCTAAGCCTCTTCGTATCCTTACGGAGGTGAAGCCACCAGTGGAGGCCCCGCTCACTGTCCTTCGCCTTGCTGAGATCCTAAAGCAAAGTGGGCTCCCGGGCAGTCTTTACTGGTTTAGGGTTTAGGATTT